ACACTTTATACACTTTACACACACATTATACACACTTTATACACTTTTAGTTTATCACGTTTCATTCTTCAGTCTGTTGTGTTATAATTATATCATTTTACTCTATCAAAATGTTCAAATATGTGGTTTTCACTATAGCAGTTTATTTATTCTTTTGTATTCATTTTAGGATATTTGATATAACCATAGTTTATGTATCATTCACACTTTATACACTTTATATACTTTATACACACTTTACACAAACTTTATAGACTTTATACACATATACATTTTATACACACTATATAGACTTTAAATACTTCACACAGTTTATGTTCCGTTAACATAGCATAACATAATGTATCACAGTAAAGTATAACATAAAGTAGAATACGTAGTACTACTTTATGTATTTTATTTATGTATCACAGTAAAGTATAACACAAAGTAGTATACATAGTACTACACGTATATTTAGATTTCCTCCCACAGTGAAGAACAGAACTGTGATCCAGATCTGATCCAGTGCACTTCCCTCCTTCCTCCCTCCTAAGTCCTCCTCTCTGTCCTTGTTTCCTCTCTCCTCGTGCAGCATGTAGGATGTGACGGACAGATCGCTTCAGACCAGCAGGAGGACCGATGTGGAGTCTGTGGAGGAGATAACTCCAGCTGTAAGATCATCAAAGGGAACTTCACCCGCAGCACCACGAAACAAGGTCTGAAAGAAAGTCTTTCAATGTAAAGTAGATGTTTCTGTTGGAGTCTTCATTAAGGACCAATAAAGGATTGTGGTTCCCTTTGACTAGGTTACCTGAAGATCCTGGAGATCCCCAAAGGAGCTCGACATCTGCTGATCCACGAGTTTAAAGGAACTTCTCACATCCTGGGTAAGAGGGGAGGAGGAGGAGCCTGAAGAACTTCTTATCCTTCATGTGGAAAACCTTGATTTCACTGTTTTCCTGTTCCAGCGCTGATGAACCAGGAGACGGGCCACCTCTTCCTCAACAACGAATACGAGCTCCCAGAATCCCGAGCAATGATCGAGAAGGGTGTGGCGTGGGAGTACAGCGGCACCGAGGAGCAGGAGTCCATCCAGACCACGGGGCCACTGAAATACGGAGTCCTGCTCATGGTCCGTCCGTCACCACAGGAGGTCCAACATGCTCCCGTTGTATCTGAGTCTAAGTCTGTGTCTCTGTCCATCAGGTGCGGTCTCATGGAGACTCTAAGGTGACGGTGTCCTACAAGTACGTCATCCAGGACCGCCTCCGGTCCAACCTGGAGTCCAACTTGGTGCAGGAGGATGCCATCTTCTACGAGTGGGCGCTGAAGAAGTGGTCGCACTGCTCTAAGCCCTGCGGAGGAGGTAATGCACCAAGTCCGGTACTCGGGGTGGTCACGTGGATAACCATGGTAACGGGGGGGGGGGGGGGGGGGGGGGGGGGGGGGGGGGTTGTTTTTGGTTGGCTGGGAG